CAGAAATAGTAATGCCATGTGTTTAGTAATCCATTAATTCCTTGATCAATTAGTAATTTAATAATTAAAAATACATTTGACCAGTAATTTAACAGTATGTCAGTTATCAAATACCAGCAATTTGTCAATTTTCAAGTTATTTAAATCACATAAGTTATATCTGATTCCAACTAGAAAATTAAGTTCGCCAATTTCAGCTCTTCCAAAACTATCTCATAATTTTCAACTTAAATAAGTCTTTAGTTATTTCTTAATCATTCAAAATCTTTCTTGAATCTAATAAAGGAAGCAGCAACAACATAACTAATATAACTAGTATCTATGAATCAGCACCATAAGATTTATTCACGGTTAATTTTGCTGCATGGTTGCATATTATCAAAAATATGAAGTCAAAGTTGAAAAAGTTACAATTAACATAACGGTAATTTCATAGGCATTTATGTGACACAAGTTAATCTTCGAAGTAATTATTTAGACACAATAAAATATAAGCATACCATGAAATGGCATATCGAGTTCAACAAAATCTTTATGAATGAAATTTGCGTAATCTTTTCCAACCCACAATTTTCCAGCACCTGTCATACATTCTTCTATAGCACGAATTTTCTCGTTTTGATCGCGCAGTTCCATATATCTGCAAATATCATCACTTTGTGCATAATTTTTGACTGATAAATTTATAATTAGGCACATAATTTAAGTTTTAACCTTTTTGCAGGTTTCCAAAATGAGCTAGAATGTTGCGAACTTCCGAATACACTCAGACGTTTCGCTAATCCATACGCGTTTCGATAAATTACATTTGCCTGGACTTAATGATATCTTAAAAATCACCTAAGATCATATCGAGTTGTTTCTTGTTTAACTTTCTGCCAATGCTTTTTGGCCGATGATGGTTTTAAGCTATGTGCTACTTTTGACAATATCTTTCGTTGTGGTGGAGGTGTTGATTTCTTTTCCGCATTGTGTTTTGCCTCTTCTGCTTTTCCACTATGTACATAAGCCTGAGAAAGAGAAAAAAATTTTATTTACATTTCAGTATATGTACATATTGATCAAACTCAACTAATGCTCGTCCTCAAGTGAATGTAAATCTTAACTTAAAAGCTTACGTAGATGTTCATTGTATTTGCATCTTTTTTAGCCAAACTTATGTGTGCCATTAAAATAGTATTGCTTGCTTTAAGTGATACTTATTGATTGTACGAAGTCTATGAGGAATTAAACTGGTAATTACTTCTCTCTGCCCTGATTTACGTTAAAATGAAGGTTTACGTGTAACGTTAATTTTCCTTTTCATAAAACTTTGAAGCAAAATATTTTCAAAAATTTACCTTATATTTATCCATAGCGTCATGAATGTCCATTCTTTCGGCACTCATATTTAGCATTTCAATGGGTGGTATCTCAACTGTCGATTTCGGCTTCCTTATTACAGTCTGCGTATGCTTGACTACTGAGAGAAAGACATGACCGTGTTCCGTTAGCTTCCGCGGTGCTTCAATGTCACCTAAAATTTCATTAATAAATTTGGCCTATCGCTTTTGCAAGCAATCATTCATTTTACCAAAACTTCTAGGAATGTATCTTCAGTGTTTCATTAACATCACTCATTTATCTCGTAACCAGTAGTAATCCACGTTAACGAGACCTGTTACAACAAAAATTAAACTTGAGTTGACGCTGCTTGACCTTAATCACTAATATAAAGTTAGAAAATCAGATATTGCTACATTGTGCCAAGTAATCTAAGACTTAATCCTACAAAGCATGAAAATCTTGACAAACTCAAAAAAGTCATTTTAAAAACAGTGTTGGAAAAAGAAATAGTAAAACGATTGCATGTACAGCAAACCACAAAAAAAAAATCTACCAAACACAGCAAATAATTGTATGTGTTGCAAAAATACAGCTAAGTATTACATATACAGCAAGAACTACAATTAGAGCAAAGCAAAAGTATAAAAAAATGAAAGAAACATGCATACATAAATAAAGAAAAGTATAAGGTGAGTGATAGAAGAGAAAGAATTAGATTCACTTGACCAGTTCCTTCGTTTCATTTGTTTCCTTTTGTCGCAAAATAACCCAACTTACCTTCATTTTGTTGACTTTTCTTGTGCTGTTTTCGTTTAGCAAAAGTTGTTGAACGTCTCTGTATAATCTTTGTTTTGGTTTTTTTGTCATTTCCAATTTCTTGATTGACTAAATTGTTCGACCTATTAATTTCATCGTATCCATCAGTTTTCTTTACTACCTCTTCATCTTCCTCCAGTCCAATGGGTGACAGTATTCCAGCTGCTTTTACAATTTGCCTAACACTTTTTGCCTGGAATGGGAAGATTTTATTTCTTCATTCTCTCGGAAAATTCATCGTAATGTTAGAGAACGAAAAATTTGGCAGATTTTGCACTTTCGTTCATTTTATGCATGCCCTAAAGTTACATTTACAAATTAAGATCTACCTGAACAACATTAAAATCACAAGAATCATATGTAGGATGTCGATAGGATCTGGTCAAGATCTTAGAAACTTCACACTGCTAAGCAATAGTGATTCACTCGAATTTCAGTAGCGATTTTTAGTTCCAAAATGACTGGATAAGCTCCATTATCTTAACTAGCAAATTATTCACAGTTAACTTAAACAAGTCACAGCCCTCTCTAGATTTAGAACTATAAGTTGCATTTCTTCTAAATCATTATAAAGAAAAAAAAACTTGATAAGTTGGACTAAAACGAACCACGGAAAAGTTACCACCTGCACAGATATTTTGCTGTTCGGAAATTTTTACTGAACCGCAATCAGCCAGTTTATGACGACAGTCATCCCAACGACCGAAACACAAATCGACACCGCCAACAAATGCTATTAGCTGATCAATAACGATTAGTTTTTCGTGATGAGCCCAGAAAAATGTACCTGATGAAAGATAATGATCCGGATGGCGAAGCACCTAAACATCAACATAGTATAGGTTGGTTACTTTCAATGCATTTTTGAGATTAGAAGATGCAAAATTCTCATTCACTCCCTCCATTTTTCTAATATATCAAATAAAAGTAAAGGTAGACTGAAAGTGATCTACTAAAGATAACGGAAATTAATAATGATAACGGAAACTAATAAACATCCTGTAACTACGAAATACTAAATAAGATCTTGAATTAAAAGATTAATCTTATGCCTTAATATTTTTATGAAGCATTTGTAGCGTTCGTTTAGTGTATATGCTGTTAATTCCAAGAGCCATTTCCATCTCCTTGTACAGAAGAACAAATATCTTCACTCCTTGTTCCGCCTTCCTCTGGAATAATAACAACTGTATAAACCTAACCAGAAAAGTAATGTAAAATTGTAAAAATTAAACTAAAATAAGCATTATTTTTCCTTCGTTATCGTGAAAATAATAATGTAGTTCAAACCCGCTAACAATTTAGAAACTTTAAATAAAAATGAAGCATGGAAGAAATAACTTCTTACGTTTTATTATCATTTAGTCGCTGATGCAACAAAACTGCATAAAATAACCTTTAAAATTTCATCAAGTCTCCATCGGTTTCCTTCTACTGGTGGTCTTTTCATAAAAATTTCTGGTGATAACCACCAGCCTGCAATGAAAATTTCCTCACGTGCTAATTCCATCATATTCGCTGCATGTTCCATGAACGATCGTCCATCTACAAACCTAGAAGAAATTATATTTAAAGAAAATCCGTTAATAATTAATAGGCAATTAGTCGTGAATTCTATTTTATTGATAAGGAAAAAAGAAGAAATTTTGGCGAACCACTGAACACTCTGTGCACGCCGCACGGGAAATGTTGACCCGTAAGGATGATTTTCGAGCCAAATCCTTCCGATCCCATTCATTGATTCCAGTATTGCTTCCTTCCACTGTATCGCATCCAGCGGTGTTCGACATTTCAGTGCCAATATACTAAATCAGAACTTGGAACTGAATTAAATGAAATAGGCAACAATATCAGCATTCTAGGAATGGACATCATCTATTTATCAGTTATCATTAAGAATGTCAACTCTCTATAATGCACATTAAAAGCATTTACTGCACACCAAATCCTGTAGCAAAAAGAGACAATCTCATCAAACCTCATCATCCAATCTATCAACTAGTTATCGCAAGCATTCATTTGATCACTTTATACTCCTGATTATTTTAGAATCTGCACTGCTCTTAACAATATAACATGAGTAAGGTAGTGGACTTACTGTTGCTGATTGCTGATGACTAAACCGTTCGGCATTCCATCTGTTTCGCTACTTCCAGCAGAAACATCGAAATCGCGATCAAATAAAAGAACGAAACGTATCTGCTCAGTTCTTGGGTTCATATAACAAACAGATGAATCCTGAAACAACGATGATGTAGATGAAAGAAAAAACATAAGTAACAAATTTCTTCCGCTTCATTTTTCTTATTTTGAAGTAAAAGAAAATTGAGTTGATCATGAAGTTACTTTTAAAATAAGCCACCGTTTCGACCATCTTAAACAATAACGAACACAACACTGTTTCCAACCAATAAAAACTCTGCCACCACCAGGACGCTTTTTTACAAAACCTTCGCAATATTTGCCACCCAATTCATTTATAAATGAAAACCGCGATACTTCCAAAAATTCTGCCTGTTAAAAAATTTAATAAGATAAAAAATGACTATGCATATTTGCTGACACCGTAAAACTGCAAATAGGAAAACACACATTCGGTTGAAACATCTCAATGTTACTAAAGTTTAGGAATAAGAAATATAAACTCTGAGATCTCCACAGGGGAAGAGTGAAAGACAGCTCTGATTTTCGAGAGCTCTGAAGAATTTCTTAAAAAAAATTTCAAGGTATGATTAAACAAGTGCTTCTAGATTTTAAACAATCCAAAAAATTATATTCGAATAAAATTGTGGCGGTATAAAAGAATAGATTCGTACGATGTTGAATTAGAGCATCAGATAATCTTGATCCAATAGCGCTACATCTCAAGCTCTGATTTTCAAAGCACATATTTCCTAAATAAACTAACTGTTTCGTGGTGATTTCTATTCACAGGTATATGCAGTACTGCTCGAAGCCATTTTTCCAGTCTTTGCTGAAAAGTGTAAGTTCCATTGTACAGACATTAAAAAAGTAAGGAACTTACGCAGAAAATTTCTTCATCATATTAATAAATGACAAATTTATCAGTAAAATAGGTATCAATTTATTTTAACCTAGAAAGATGAAAGCACAAAGTCAAGCAGCAAACACCTAAAATAGTGAATTATCAGAAAGAGATTTGCGATTGTCAACTGTTTGTTCAGTCATGTCTGAACTGCGTTACACTGAATACTGAAAAGAAAAAAAAAGTCCTGGTATAATTAATTGCCTAGTTTATACTTTATTAAAATAACTACAATTACTACTACAGGAGGAAAAAAACTAAAACAAGACAATCAAATACTATGTAACCAACAACAGCGAATCCACCGTTAACATACCCGACGTTCGTTTGGATCAATAACAGCATCCGGAACGAAACCAAGCGATGGCAGTTGATGGCTTTTTATTTCGCTCAATCGGACATTTTTTCGTTCCAAAGAATTCTCTTTCGTTAGTGGTAATACTGAAAAACTCAGAATTACCAAAAATTATCAACAGGCAATAGAATGAAAATTGATCGACTTACTGTTAATCTGTTATTGTTATTCCACCATTATTGTTTAGTGATTCAGTCAACATATACTTCCCATAAAACGATATACGAATCATGTTGTCAAGTTGTTCTAATAATTCTGTTTGATAGTCAGAGGCTGCTGACGCCTTGATATTATAAAATTTGATAACTTTCTCAATCTTATTACTTGAAATTAAGTTTAATTTCTAGCCAGATTCAATTCTGAGTAATGAGACTAACCAAGTGAACATAAAGAGCATTGTTAAAAATGAATTAAAAGAACCATTCGGTATAGGAACTGCAGCAGTTCCGGTAGGATCAGTGAGGACCGGTTGTTGCTTAACACTAATCTCTTTTTCCGTAGTACCACTTTGGCGCATATTATCAAGATCATCACACCTATTCAAATCATGGACCTGAAAATGAATTCGCATATTAAATTTGCTGTAAAAAATACTACAGTCCAATTTATCACATTTCAAATATAACCTTTTGGTCTTCCGTTGTTTTACGATATGGACAATCATCCGTATGATCCGGTATTATATCAATACCAATCGACTCAAGTGCATCGTCCAAGGCTTCCTGTGCTCTGTAATATCAGGTATCATTAAAATTCGCGAAGAACTGTATCGTGAAGACAAATATCACTACATAATTCACTATGTACACATACACAAACATGCAGTGCCTTGTTTTTCGTAATCATTTGAGAAAATTTAGATTTTTCAGATAATTTCGATATGCTTATGAAAGCCAGAGATAGTTGTACGAAGTTAATCTATCATCTAGTGGAATCAACAAAATATAAAAAATTCGAAATATACTGCAAGCATTTGACAACAGTCTCAATACAACCACATAATAATAACCAAGTGCTAACAGCAGTAGTATCAAAAAATGAAAGATAATTCTCAAATTACTAGAATTTGATGAAACTTTCATTACAAAAAAATACCGGCTAATAGAATTTTTTCCAAAGTAATACATATGGGGTGCAATATCACATAACAAAAATAAAATATTTGACAGGAAGACAAACGTGACAGAAACAGAAGCCTGGGTAAATATGATACATTTACGACAGAAAAAGCACAGAAATAATATTATCTGGAATAATTACAGTTCTTTGCCATATCGTAATCTGAATTGGTAAATTCCGACATGTAAAATTTTTAAAGGAAATAAAAATTGATTTGCATTATTGTTAATAACTATTTCAATGGCATTAATAATTTTTTCGTTAAAAAATTAAAGCCCCTATTGTCATACATGAAAGGTTGACCTGATTAGCTACTGGAATAAAAAAGTCAAATGCTCTGGTCAAACGAATGTTAAAGACATCGTTATATGTATCTTTTAAATTAAGGTGAGAATGGTTTGTGAAAATCCAAAATCATCCCACTACTTCCAGCGTCATCCTGGCTCTCAGCTAACTTGTTTGTTACTCGATACGACTTTTCTTACCTAATTTCTTTTCCAATCAAAAGGAATAATAGAAGTGTAGAATAGGACATATTTCAAACATTAAGTAGTATCGTTCGTAATGCTTTTCATCTAAATATTTTATCAGATTTTTCAAGTCGCGACAATACGGCAACTTTATTTTATCAGATTTTTCAAGTCGCGGCAATACGGCAACTTATTGCATTTCGTCCTTATAGCTTATAGTTAC